TACCCATTTGACCTGGCATCAATGACTGGATGATCAGAACACGACTAGAGGAAGAAAGAAGAGGGAAAAACAAAAAAAAGGAGTAGCTCACTATAAGTGGATGAACTTGACCTATGCTTGTGGATGCAGTATGACAAAGGAGCGGACAAATCTCTACAATGAGGATCATTCCCACCCCCTTGGTGCAGAGGGTCGACAGGGACGGGGAACTTAGACATTGGCTACCCAAAATGGGGAGACTACAAAGGCAAGAAGTGACTGGCTTACAAGCTTTCAATAAGGAACCTAGCTCCAGAGGATATAGGGAAAGATAGAACCTCCACTGAATTGTTTCCAACCTGTCTGGATGGGGTTGATAAAAGGTGAGGGGGAAAGGACTCCTGTGGTTCAATAGGGAATGATTGCTGTTGGGTCTGACTGTGAGTATTGGAAAAGTCAATGTAAACATTTGGTAACAAAAGGAGGGGAGCAGCTGATTTTGCAGTCCAGGACCAGAGATCCCTCAAACCATCAAGGGAGAAAACCAAAGTGGGAGACCTTGTCCAGAGAGGCAGTGACACTAGAGATGGAGGCAGAGGCAATGGCATGGACAGAAGATGTGGCTGGGGACTCTGGACTCAGGGAGGAGAGGGGTTGTATGCTGACGGCCAGTGGGGCAGGAGTGTGGTGTATCCTTTGGGTGTTTGATGTTGCATGCAGGGGATTGTAATCATTGCAATGAAACAAAGTACAATAGGATGAATGTAAAGATAATGTTCACACATAACACATAATTCACAATAAAAACTAACACATAATTCACAATAAAAACTTAAAAAAAATTAGCCTGCTATATGTGGCGCTGTGGGTTAATGTGCCACACTGCAAAGCCGTTTGAACTGCAAGATCGGCAGTTCAAGCTCACCAGCTATTCCTTGGAAACCCTATACAGGGTCACTATGGGTCTGAACCAGCTCAACTGCACTTAACAGCAACAACAAAATGTGATGGCTGGAACTGCAGTTGCCTTGGCAGGGCCAGACCAAATGATTTTGAGGGCTTTATGTGGCCTGCAGTTTGGATGTTCTTCACCCCTGGTCTAGACACTTTTGAAGACAATATTTCCATGTCTAACCCTTCCTCAAAGAATTCTGTACTCTTCTGTTAACACTACATCAAAATGTCAATCTTGACATCCTGAAGGCACTCAAATTACATTCCTTTTCAGTGCTCTCTGAATTTGTTAAGCAAAAAGAAATGTGAAGGAGCAAGATAGGTGGATAGGGTAGGGTGGATAGGGTAAGGTTTCACAAAGACTTGCTCAGAGGACAGCCTTTGCTACCCTTGAAGAGTAAGCAGGTGTGTTGTTGTGATGGGAAAAAAATCCTGGCTGCAATTTTCCTGGCCTTTTTCTGACCAATGGAGTTTCCAATTTTCTTCTAAATTCTTCCTAATAAGTTCCCATGATTGTCCTGTGCTCTTTGAGAAAACCTATCAAGACTACCCCTTTGGAATCTTCAAAAAAAGTTGCTATAACCTTCTGAACTGACCTCTGCCTTGAATTTAACTGGCCCAACAGAAGCCTGTGGAAGCCACTGTTGTGATTGGATCCCCCTTTTTGAAGGTACCCGAATGAGATGAAGACAAATGTATTACTGAGACCACAGAGACATGCTTAAACACATTTTGTTTGGAATAAACCAGTGCATGTATGAACTGGAATCCTAGTGACAAACACTTTTTAACTTACTTTTGTATGTACTAAAATAAAAAACCATATAGAAATGAAACATTTGTAATGCTTATCAGGGAGTGAGAATGAGCAGGGGAAAGGAAACATTTGCTTAAGGGGTATTGAGTTTATGTTAATAGTGATTCAATGATGTGGAAAAGGTTAGCAAGAATGGTTGCACAACTTGAAGAATGAACTATATGTATAGAAATTTCTGAATTGGAATATTTACTCATATTTACAGATCCTTCTATATTAATCGATCTAATTACATTTTCTATTTCACCTTAGACCAGTATCTGAAAACTCTCTTTTTCTAGGAAGTCACCAGTTTCCGCCTAGTTTTCAAATTTGTTTTTGAAGAATTGCACACAACATTTTCTTACAAGTATCATTTTCTACTCTGAATTATAGTTATTTATACACTTTCTATCTGTCTTGCAGATAAGATTTAAATTTTACAAAGCATGCATTAGGTATTTTTCTCAGACCACGTAATACATTTCCTTGAACATGACATTTGTGTAACAATGTTTGGAATAAATTAATGTGTTAATTAATTTGGTTTACTTATTTAAAATTTGTTCACTTACCAACATGATTTTGTTCATCTTTGTCTTGAGCAGTAGTGACCATTTTATCAATGAATTGCAATAATTTAAATACTATATTTAACTTTATATAAGATTTAAAATAATATTTTAATTATAAATCTTTGAAAATGTTTTTGCTGATAATTGATGTGAGAGTCAAAAGTAAGAGACTGAAGGTAGGATGAAAATTGGAGTAAAGAAACAAACACATATTGTAAGCCTATTATATACCAATCACTCTTTAAGGCACTTTGCATAGAGTACCTCATTTGATTTTTATACGAATCCTTTGGGATGGGTATTATCATCCCCATTTTACAGATGAGAAAACGAGGGCTCAGAGAGGTTCAGTGACTTATTTAAGATAATACAACTAGTAGGTGAAATGAGGAATTTATATGAATGTTAATACTCAAAAAGTATAAGTAGTTTATATGCAAAATAATAATCAATTAACCTTAGTTTTTCTTTGACTTCCTGCTGATATATTTTGGTGACAGGACTACAGGTGTGAAACGAGGAGGGTACTAACAGAGGACTGTTCTCCTCGTCTCTGAAGGCATTGGAGACACAAAGCAGTTAATCAGTCTGTGATTCTGGGAGCACTTAAAAAAACAAAACAAAACAACCTGGAATACCAAACTCTTAACGAGAAATTTTTATTTATGCACATATTACTTGAAATTTCCTTTTCTGATAGTAAAATGTGGATTTGCTAAGTACTGACACTTTGAGTGTATGGTGAAATACAGAGTTAGTTTCTGCCCTCAAAGAACTTGCATTCTGTTGGGAACCCAGGCAGATATAGAAGGAATAAACATAAATATTCAAATGTGATATTTAATAAAAATGCTACACGGAACAAGAGACCTTATGAGTCTGTGCTGGGTTGCATATTGACTGGTACCATTTTTGCCACAGCAGAAATATCACCAGAATTTTTTTTGAAAGGGAAAGGCTAACTTTCTTGCAGGGGTGTGATATTCTCTTAGCATGTCTGGAAACATTACCCTTAGCCTCTTGTTCTGACAAATTTATGAGAGGAACTTGCTCACATGTTCCCTAAATACCTGCTTTACTTGTTTGTTTCTCAGGGTATAGATGAAAGGGTTGAGCATTGGGGTCACCACAGTGTTTAGGAGGGCCACCACTTTGTTCCTGTCCTCTCCTTGGTTGCCTTTGCCTGACCTGACATACATGAATATGCAGCTGCCATAGAAGAGAGACACGACAATGATGTGGGAAGAGCAGGTTGAGAAGGCTTTCTGCCTCTCTTTGGCTGAGGGAATGTGTAGGATGGTGTAGAGGATATGTCCATAGCAGGTGGCTGTCACGGACAGAGTGCCCAGTAAACTGAGATTGGCTGTTACAAAGCCCAGAAACTCTATGAGACTTGTGTCTGCACATATGAGTTCCAGGAGAGGAAAGTTGTCACAAAAGAAATGATTAATAATATTGGGGCCACAGAATGGCTGCTGAAATATGATTGAACTTGGAACAATGATGAGAAGGAATCCTGCCATCCATGAGCAAAGAACCAACAGGACACAGACCCTTTTGCTCATGATGGTAGCATAACGTAAAGGATCACAGATAGCCACATACCTGTCAAAAGACATCACTGCCAGGAGATAAAACTCTGTGGTACCTAGGAAGAAATAGAGGAAACTCTGTAGGAAGCAGCCTGGAAGGGAGATGGTCTTACTTCCAGTTATGATACTGGTCAACATCTTGGGGAAGATGACAGAGGTGAACCAGATCTCTAGGACAGCAAAATTACGGAGGAAGTAGTACATGGCGGTGTGGAGGCGTCGGTCCATGAGGGTGATTACCACAATGAGGATATTCCCCAACAGAGTGAGGGAGTAAGTCAGGAGGAATCCCAGGAAGATGAGCATCTGCAACTCACAGGCATCTGAGAGCCCCAGCAGGACAAACTCGGTAACAGTAGTGTTCCCAGTGGCTCCTGTGACTTTTGCAGGGGATGGCCAAACAGAGGTGTTCAGCATTGGGAGCTGTGATGTTCTGGGCATCTGAGGACAGCCTGAAACTGAAAGAAAAGAGGGATGAGTGTTGCATTTTGAGTGGAGGAATCTTATATCTGTGAAGGGCATATCTTACTATCACTGACTACTCAGGCTGGATTCGCAGAGTACCTGCCAGGACCTGTTTCAGTTTTGGCTCCTGTTCTGTGTATTAGACAAGGAAGTAGGGATGGGTGTTGTGAAGTGCCATTGAGTCAGTTCTGACTCACAGAGACACTGTATAGGGTTTCCAAGGAGCAGCTGGTAGGCTTGAACTGCCAACCTGCAGTTAGAAATCTAGTGCTTATCCTATAGTGCCACACAAATAAGTCTCAACAGCAAAATTTAACCATGCTTACTTTTATTAACTAAATTCTTATTTCTGACTCTTTAACTATTCATCTTACCCCTAACAAAATCTGCTTTCAATATTTTTATTCTAATATTTCCCTCCAATATTGGATTTTCATACACAAATAATTCATATTTGATTGTGGTACCCTCTGTGTTTAATTTGCCCATTCACTCTCAGGTACAGACTTTGAGGTAAGCTGACTTAAAATACATGGAAACTCTATTGCTGATACAAGATTCCATGAGGCTTTGACCTAGTGCAGTGGAACCTGTGAGAACCAGAATTTGATGGGGTTGCCTAGTTTTTTGAGGTCTTGCAAGTATTCCACTTTTGCCACTTTTCGATTGCTCTGCATTTGTGGAAAATATTGTAGTCTTCCTTCTCTGACAGGTTTCCAGCTTGCCCAGGCTTTCACAGGTCTGACTATATTTGAGTTAATAAACAGGAAAGAAGAACTATATGAGAGAAAAGCACAGATCTCACAAATCAGAAAGCAAATTCTAAGTAATGTATGCACAAATCAAAATTTCTTGTTAAGAGTTTGGTATTCAAGGCTGTTAATGATCTGTTCCCAAATGGTAATTCCAGGTTCATCTCTTATTACAAGCTGCCACAAACCCTGAACTCTAACTAAGTACTACAGACGCTCTGCAGTTCTTTGATTTATGTATTTTCATGCACGTGTGCTTTTGCATGTGGTATCTTTTCAGCTCGGAATTATCAATCTTTCAAATCCTATTTCTCCTTAAAACTTTCTGCAACAAATGCATTTCTTCTATGAAAACTTCTCTTCTGAATGAATGAGTCTTTCATAATCTATCATACCTCATTTATTTTTACAGTATTTAAAAATATTGTATGAGTTGTTTTTAATTTGTTGCTCATTGAGTCAAAATGATATTAGTATTTTCTATACCACCTAGAACAAATTTCTTCAATAACCAACTTGCATGAACATTGGAGGAATAAGATAATAGCTCAAATGTTGGAAAGAGACATTTCCTGGACGTTTATACACAAGATGAGGAGAGCATGCCATTTATGTACTGCTTCATAGAGGCCAGCAACCTTGCAGAGTCAGCATGCCAAATAATCTTAAATTGGTTCATTTGAAAAGAGTTGTCCTCATGTTGAGGTGGAGGTATCTTTCTGTCATGACTCCCTGAAGAGAGGCTTTCCATCACTGAGGTGGGCTAGAGTTTGAGCTAGTAAGTAGACAGTGGGCTGGTTGGATATGCTAGAGGACTCCTGGAAGCAAAGCAAAACAAAAACAAAAACATCTGGAAAAGCTCTCTTTCTTAAAGGCAGCATCCCTAAAAGTATCCCTCCGTAAGTCTTATCAACTATTGCTTTTTCTATCTGTCCTAGCTATTGTGAATGTTTGGAGAATAAAATTGTGACTCAATTTAAGTATCTGGGAGAAGGAGGTGCTAGGAATGATGGGGCATCAGTGGATGAAAGTGACATTAATGGGGAGGATGAAAAATGGAGGACTTTACAAACTTTGTCTTCTTTTTTTTAAAAATAGTTTTGCCCCCCCCCCCTTTTTTTTAAGCACAGGTGACATTACTGAATGCATTCTACAGACTACCATTTTATCTAGCATTTTTTGACAATTATTAAAGAACACAAATAGTTGATCTGTCTCTGAGGGTATAACTGGAGCTATTCTTCAAGGGTTATTTCTAGATTCAACATTGTCTAATTCATAAGAGTTCTGAAATTAGACTTCAATGGTCTCTGAAGTCTGTCATTTGGTTCCAGTGTGTTTCCAGGTGATGGAGAAAGTTATTCATCTCTTTCCAGAACACAAGTGGAATCTATCATGAATGTGATTCCCAGAAACTTCCTCAGGAACTCATAGGATGAGGGCTATTTAGGGGAAATTCTTTGTGGGATATATTCAGAGGCAGATAGGAACAAAGACTAAGATAGGAGGCTGGTGGTAGGGGAAGAAAACAGTCCAGGGTTCATAGTGGATCATGAACTGAGCACAGATACACCATGCAAATATAGCGTAACCAGTGCAAGGATATAGCACATAGACAGTACCATTGATAAACTTTTGGGTCCTGCCACCCTATTTTAAACAGGAGGCCACTAGCTTGGGGTCCTTTCAGATCCAGAAGCAAAAGGATGACTTACTAGATCCTAGGCATTCTTCCTTTTATTCTACATAATTGGTGAGTGAAGGAGGAGACTTGCCTGGCAACCTGAGAGCCTGGGCATGGCTACATTCATCCACTTCAGACCATTCATTACTTTAAGGCTCCTGTGGGAAAATCTCTGTGGATCCCCTAGAGGCTTGTCTTTCCAGAGTTGGAACTACATACTGTTTTGGATTGTTCCAGTACACTTAGAAGGAAGATGAGATCTTTCCCCTCTAAGGAAAAGCATTTAGAATTTTAGTGCATGGGCAGAACTTTGGATTCTCCATGGAGACAGCTGCAGAAAGCACAGGGTAGGACAACATCATGTAAATCAGACCAGACTTAAGTTCCTCACTACTAGTGAGTAGCTGAAGGAGCTTTGGTGGTGCCGAGGGCTAGGCATTGGGCTGCTAACTGCAAGATGACAGTTCAAATCTGCCAGCTTCTCTGCAGGAAAAAATGAGGCTGCCTACTGCCATAAATGTCAGGATCTCTCTGGGTGATCACTACGAATCAGAATCAACTTGATAGCCATGGAGTGAGTGTTTGGGGTTTAGTGAGTAACTGAAGGGTCCTAACTCAATAAGCATTGACTTCGCTCCTGCTAAACAGTCCTGTTGACCTGGTTGGCTACTCATTGGCCTGATAACCTAAAGGTTGGTGGTTCTCTGAAGGAGAAAGATGAGGCAGTCTGCTCCCTTAAATATTTACAGTCTCAGAAACCCTAAGGTCCTGTACTCTGTCATCTAGGGTAACGATGACTCAGAATTGACTCACTGGCAGTGAGCTTGGGTTTTTGGTGTTTATTTATTTATTTATTTTGGCACCTGCTGTGTTCCAACATTGGCCTGGATAGGGGAGCTGAGATTACAAATGAGACGCAGTGCCTTTCCTTGTTATACCAGACCTTATAAAGGCATATGGAGCCCTGGTGTGGCGCTCTAGGGTAAGCACTTTACTGCTAACCACAAGGTCAGCTGCTCAAACCCACCAGCCACTCCTTGGAAACTCTATACAGGGTCGCAATGAGTCAGAATTGACTCAAGGGTTCTTAACAACAACAACAGCAGTAATAAGGGAGTATAAAAAACAAGTGCAGGTAACAAGAGGTAACAAGAAAGCCACGGATACTCTGCTATCCCCTGAGACACTGAAGCAGAGATTATCCTAAAGGTCTGGGGGCAGCTGTTTAGCAGCCCTTTGAGGAAGTCCCAATCAGGCATTCCAGATATACTACTCACAGGATTGCAGCAGATGCCAGATTCTCATGGATAGTCCTTGGGGTTACAATATTGGCCTTAAAGGCAGGTCTTATGCTGTTGGCATGAGATCTTCATCTCTCATGACCTTGATGGCACTCTCTAAGAATACTTGTTTTTTCCAAAGCTTCCTGAATCAGTAGCTGAATTCCCTGGGTCACTCAGAGTAAGGAAATGGATTCCTTGGACATTGTCATCCTTCAGTGGGTCTGATGAGACCAGACTGTTTTGAAATCTTTCATTTTCAACAAGTTCTTCCTGGGAAAGCCTTGGAAAAGTACAGTTGTCATTTGAAGCAATCCTTCATCCTCCTCTTCAACTAATGAGATGATTCTTTCTGAACAATACTTCTATTTCACTCTCATGTCAATTCAGTCTTTATGAAGTGATGTTTCTTCTGTGGTTTATGGGGCTGTAGGAGACAGTGGACAAACTACTTGTGGAATAAACACTTATCTTTATGAAGGTGACTTCAGCGTTGAAAGACACCGGTTGCGACTTTGTTTTCTTAAGGGATCTACTCTTCTCTCTGGTTTGATGGGGCTTGGGATCCTCAGAGAATTAGTTTAACGAGCCTCACTCAGACTCTTCCCAACTCTCTTGGCTGTTACTTACTACAGCTTGCAAACAAAAGTTTTAATTGTTTGTTCAGATCAAGAATAGCAGTTACTTTTAGTTAAAGTAATGAATCCAATTATACTTCTGAAATAGGAGGCTGATGTGGCACTGTAGGATATAAGCACTAGACCACAGGTGGGTTTGAACTGCAAGATCAGAGGTTCAAACTCACTAGCTGCTCCTTGGAAATTCTATACAGGGTCACTATGAGTCCGAACCAACTCGATGGCAGTCGCATTTTCACAGGGATGCAAGGAACCACCAGAAGTAATACAAAACATTGGTCAGTTTTATCCTGGCCTCTACCTGACTTGGGCCAGTTGCTGTTGTTGACTAAACAGTAGGTGCTGTTTAGTCTGTTCTGATTCAAAGTGACCCTATGCACAACAGAAGGAGACACTGCCAGGCCCTGGATCATCCTCACAATGAATGTTATGTTTCAATCTATTGTTGCTGCCACCGTGTCAATCCATCTTATTGGGGGTCTTCCTCTTTTTTCACTGACCCTCCTCTTTACCAAGCATGATGTCCTTCTCCATGTGCAAAGTACGAGAGACAAAGTCTCATCATCCCTGCTTCTGAGGAACATGCTGGCTGTACTTC